ATAAAATTTAACCTATATCCATAGAAAATCCCATTAATAAAAAGCCATTAGAAATTTTAAAACCGAACTTATTCTCTCTTTTTTTTTCTTTTTTTTTTTTTGAAAATAGGCAATGGAAAAACTTATGCTCTCTCAATCTCAAATTTTTGAGCATGGAAGCGCTGGAGGAGTTGCCGCGCCAGACGTTTTTCCGTCCAATCGCTTTTAAAAGTTTTTAAGAACTTGGAACCTGGCAGTGGCCGTATAACCAGCGTGTAGGTGTTTCATTCATATAATTAAGGTTTAATATTTCTTGTCTCTTATTTCCTTTTTTTTTTTCTTTCTTCAATTCCAGAAGTAAAAAAAAAAAAAAGTTCAAGTTGGATCAAAGGGTTTTCTTTATAATTATTTAAATATACAAATTATAAATTAAATAAAATATTATTAATATGATTTTTAAAAAAAATTTATATATGAAAAAAAAGTATTTTATTAGATGTCTATTGAAAAGTTAAATATATAAAAATATAGTTTTATAACAAGTAATATTATTAATTATAATAAGAAAATCATATTTCACGATTTAAAATTATATTAAATTATAAAATAAAAATTATTAAATAAAAAATAATTTTTAATATTAAAATTTATTTTTTAGTAATTAATATAATATAATACAATACAATTTAAATTATATTATATTATTTCGTTGTAATAATATGACACCAAAACAAGTCTTTTCATTATTTCTATCGTATACGGTATGCTTTAAGATTTCAAATTTTTTTTTATATTTGGTGGTAAAAATTATTTGAGAGGGTTTATTTGCAATTTTTTACATTTAACAAAGCGCAGTGTGAAAGGCAGTCGCCCATTTGCGCTCTCTCAGGCGCACGCGGCCCTAATAGTGACATGTGGCAGTTATATTTAACAAAAACTACTCTTGTACCCGGAACAGAGAAATAGCTGTAAACCTTCATCAATTTTTTTTTTTTTTTCCCGTCGTAATCGGAAATCTATACGGTTAATTTTTTTTTTAATAATATTCTTCAAATTCCCATGACGGTCTTTTCATTTTCCATTTTTATCTCTTCCCTTTTTTTTAATGAATAAAGATAAAAAAAAAGGATAAATTTTATAAAACTAAAATTTAAGAT